AGCTAAAAAAGAAAAAAAGGACAACGGAAATGTTTCTTCTCTCTAGTCTGCTAAGTTACACGGAACAGTATGTAGAATATGACCCGTTCCTTGTGCCACCTGACCCTTCTAACCCATGGCTATCTGATGATACTACTTTCTGGGAACTTGAAGCAAGGTAAGTGGCATTTTCTCTTCCCTTTAAATATTTCACTTATTTCAGGGTCGGAGTGAAATAGCAAGAATACTACAGCTGATTAATCATAAAGGTGATTTTACTGTGTCTGATGTAAAGTTCGCATTGAAAGTAATGGTTTTGGAACCTTAGATATTTGTATTTGTATTAATATTTGCATTTCCTGAAGGACTGGCACAAAGTTACAGGTGTAAGCGTTTTAAGGTAGACTGGTCAGAATTGGGATCTTCAGTTATTTAAATTTAGCTCATTGTTTTTAGCTCCCTTGAAAATCCACATCGTCACAAAGGCCCATGTAGTCAAGTAAAATGAATGCTAAACCATATGTTCTTAAGCCCAATACAAGTATGCCATTATACATGCAATTTTAAAACAAAATGGTGTTACCTTAAACACTCTAAGGAAAACTGATAAGAAGATGACTTCTTAAGAAATCCAAAGTGTAATGTAGGACCCCCTGGCTTCTTTCATTGGGTTGAGTACTATGTCATCAGTCTTGACAGAGTCAAAAGGAGGTCATTGCACATCACTTTACAGCGTGATATTTAGAAGTCTGTGGCACTGCTCTAGGTTGGATTTATGGACCTTCTCTTTGTTTTGCGTCCTCCCAGTGGTTCTGAAATGCTTGACAAGTGCACAACTCTTCATCTGTGAGTTCTAGATTTCATAGATGAGGAAGCTGGAACCCCCAAATAGTCTTACTCTGCCAGGATTAGGCCACACATTTCATTGACAGCCGAGTTCTAAATTAGGATTTAGACCTTCTGGTTCCCAATGCATTTTCTTCCAGTACAACCACCACCATGAGACTGCATTGTGTAATGGGGAAGAAATTGGGCTCTGGGGTCAGAATACAGCAATATTACCTCTTATCACCTGTCTGACATCAGCAAGTTATAACCCTCTTTTGTGCCTTGATTTTTTTTATCTATAACATGAAAATTATAATAGTACCTATCTCTGTCAAAAAAAACTACAAGTCCATCTAGAATACCTTCCCACCTAATGCTCACTAAACATTAGACTTTATTATCAATGCCTAATTTACACATCACTAGAATTTCATGCAGAGTCATCAATCATATTTTTTTTCTTGAACATTAAAGATGGGATCTTAAAGGTATATGTGATTCTTAGGGGAAATGTAACAGCAGAAAGGAATGTAATGAAAGGAATGTATTGGGTTGTGTTTTATCTCCTATAGCAAAGAACCCAGCCAGCAGAGGGTGAAACGATGGGGTTTTGGCATGGATGAAGCGCTGAAAGACCCAGTTGGGAGAGAACAGTTTCTTAAATTTCTAGAGTCTGAATTCAGCTCAGAAAACTTAAGGTAAGACATGTTCTATAGATCTTATGCTACAAACCCGAGGTACCCACCTGTGATGGGCCTGATTATTTAGGACTTATTACTTATGTAGACTGATGACTCCCCCACCAACATCATGATGGCAGTATGAACCCACTGAATTTCTGCCACTTGATGGAGGAAAAAAAGGGTAACCAAGACAAAACCAGTCCAACGTTATCAATTCCTCATAATGATTAATTTTTACACTGTCTTCTGATCTATTTATTATATAAATTTGGTTCATTTGAAATGGACTCCTCAAAGAAGTGTAATACCTAGATGAATGATTGGCAAAGTGGAAAATGGCCAATAACATTTATGCGATTAAATTAAAATATCACCTATTTATCAATATTGGTGTTCTTTGCATATTGTTTCTCAAGTCAGAGCTAGAAAAGGAGATTGGGGGCCTGTATCAAGTAACTTGAGACAAAACTATGGGGGCAACTCATTTACTTTGCACATTAAAATACAGCCTCAGGACAGTAGAAAGCAACACTACNCCACTAGATTAGGAGTTCCAATGGAGGAGGAAGCATATCTATCTTTGTTTACTTCTAGATCCCTAACGCATAACACTAACTATATCCAGCATATAGTAAATGATCAATAAACATTGAATGAACGAATGAAAGAAAGAAAGGAGAAAATTCAATTCATTCATTTCTGTCCTGTTAATAATTAACTCACAGCATTTGTACTACTCCTTGGGTTTAGGAATTGACAGGAATTGAGTTCCAGGAGGTTGGGGCTAGGACAAGAGAGGGGAGATCAGAGGACCTACCAAAGGTAGTCTGAGTTGGATGATTCAGATAAGGTTAAACCCAAGTCAAAATCTGTTAAAGAAGGGATAAAAGCAAACTAATGGAGCAGCAAACTGGAAAAATCAAGTCCAAATGGTCAGTGCATAGAACCAAGGGGTTAACATTAAGAAGAGAGAGAACCCACATGAAAACAGGTCAGAAACAAAACACATCTGAATTTGGAGACACTGGAAAGGTTGGTGATGGTTCTGAAAATTGGCTCATTCCACATATGGATCTACTCTTTTCTGATTTCATGAGTTTCTTATCACACCTGCCTGGTGACTTTAATATTGTGGGGTTCATACAGTTGTAATATGTCCTCATCCTTCATCCTCATGTCCCAAGAAAGAGAGCTCTCAGCCCACCCCCAAATTTTATTAGCACATTTACCATGTTCTCGCCATATAATCAATTATTTTGTCAAAGTTAATAATCACGTATTATTTTCAAAGAGTCATGCTTCTATGTTACATTCAAATGATGTTTATTACAGCAGTGCTTTTTGAATTTTGATGAGAAGCTTAATCAAAGATGTAGCAAAGTTACCTTACGGAATATCTAACACAAAATTACCTTTTAGAAAGTCTGTGACTACAAATGGTATTTTGTCCTAACATATTTCTTTTTTAATTTCATATAGTCCGTCTATGGTTTACAAAATGATATTAGAAGTCACAGTCCTACCCACACACCCATAACAGAAACTAAACCTCCAACAGAAGATGAGTTACAACAACAGGTGGGTTAACCTATAAAATTACCCGTTAATGGTTTACAGAGTAGCAGCTCTGAAAGCCAGATAGTGAATATTAGTAGTCAGTATTTTATAAGATCATT